AAAAAAAAAAAATGCAGAAGTATAACGCCACTTTTGTTTATCAACAATCGCACTAAACGGTACCTGCACAGCCCAACAGTACAGTCTTGAATGTATTGCAAATTAAAAAAGTAGCTTTCGGGAGTGATACCACTTAAAACACAACTCCTATACATTAAAAGCTCACCATGAACTAAACCACCCATCAAAACAGACAGTATATATATCCACCCTACAGAATAATTCCTTCAAAACTTAAAAAAGTCAAAAAAATGTGGGAAAATCGCTTAATTCTGATAACATCATTCACTTCTTCAGTACACAGAACGAAGGCCAGAATAATTTTACCTGATAATTAGTCATGTCACCATCATGGCAAACAGGAAAATCGATCAAATGAGGACTTCCTCGCGGATCATTAGGGGTTTCTAGTGATGTTATAGAGGTGGATAACGGAGCTCCACCTTCCGGACACTTGTTCATCTGTTCCGCGTTCTAGACTACAACAACAGATCAGTAGCCAACGCTTTCGTACAAATAAAACAGTAGAGACGAACAGATCATTACAGGCCAGTCAATCTATCAGCAATATACTTTATATAATACCGTCTAAAGCTTTCTTTTTTCTTTTTCAGATAACACCGACGTAAAACTGCCAGCTAGACGCAAGTCAACAAATGACTACGCTTCAAAGAAGCACTATTATACACTGATGTAATATGAGTCATTTAACCTAACGCTGGTTGCAACGCTTCCAATAGACCCGCCTTAGAACTCGACTTGATTCAGTTTTATCGCGAATGACATCACTATTTTTTTTTTTTTTTTTGAATGACTCATTGCAAAAATATATTTCGAAAACCAAATGGTATACATACATTTATTATGTTGATATGGAATTGGTCCAACTAGTAAGACGTTTATTAAAAATCAGGATATCGTTTCAGGATAACAAATAATTCTACAACTAAAACAATAAGAAAACTTTCTCGCTTCTAATTAATTTAGTTTACCCCAAATGAAAAACGAAGCTTTTGTTGCTGAACAATTACGGACGGAAACAGTACATAATTTTAGAGTCGTAGTAGTAGTTCACTGGAAAGAGGTGTCAAAAGCAAGGAGAATTGGCGATTTTTTTCGTGCGTAAATATCAGTCGGTTCACTTTATAAGGCTACGTAGAACTAATTTCTGTGGACAGTTATATGTCTGCGTGACGTTACTTTTCATTGTGTAGTATTGTTTATTTGGGGGTATTCGTACAATTATTAGGTGCTGAAGGTTATTGGAAAGTGGTTGGTTAATTGCTATGATATGAAATTAGACAGTTTGAATGACGTAGGCGATTCAGTAACACCGGTCAGGACTAAACGACGATCAAATTACGATGCTAACCCGATTAGTCAGATGACCAAAAGAAAAGTTTGTGTCCTTTGTTCATGCTATCAAAAGACGTTTTTTACCTTCATTCTTTTTTTTTAATTGGAAGTTGTTTCTTTGTAGCTGGCCAAGGCCTTGAAAATGTTTATAATTGAGATCTGTCTTTGTCTTTTTGATCTTCTTTTTCACTAATAAAAGTAATCTGACGCTTTTGTTACGAAACAACGCTGCCTAGGAATGGAAAAAATCTTGTGCATAATGTACGGTATACAAATTTTTAACCTCAAAAATTTGTCATTTGTTTTTAGAGTAAAATTTATTGGCCATCATTACCAGTAAATGAGGTTCGTCAGCAGCTAACTGATGCCGTAAAAACTAACCCTATAGTTATTGTTGTTGGAGAAACTGGGAGTGGTAAAAGTACGCAAATACCAAAGGTCTCACTGCTTACTTCTGGAAATACAACTCACTTTATGCTAATTTTTTTGCTCAGATTTTGATATTTTTTGAGGTACGCACCCTTTGGACTATCATCATTACTACCGTTTCAGATTTGTTATGAGGAAGAAATCTGTGGGAATGGCTTGATAGGTGTGACGCAACCACGTCGAGTTGCAGCAATAACTTTAGCTAAACGTGTAGCGGAAGAGATGAATTCGGAGCTTGGAGAAAAGGTATGCTCAGTAAGACTAAATGCTATTTATTTCTGCTCATCTGAAAACTTTACAAGTCTTATTTTATAATTTTAGGTTGCTTACAAGGTTCGTTTCGAAAACACCGAGGGAGACGAAACTCGCATCGTTTATGGAACTGATGGTGTATTTCTTCGAGAGGCTATATATGACTCCCTACTTTTGCGTTACTCAATTATTATTGTTGATGAAGCTCATGAAAGGTCACTTCACACTGACGTGCTGATTTCTATACTCAAATTATGCTACGAGCAGCGTAAAGATAGTAGCAATCCTCTTAAGGTTAAATTTTTTTAGTATTCCAGAAAAATGTCTAATGTAAGTCTTCCCCAAGCGCAGTTTTATCATGTTTGTTTTTCTAAATGCTCGTTTAGCTTTTTACAGCACCGTTTACTGTCACGGTTTTTCGACTTTTTAGCTTGTGGTTATGTCTGCAACACTTGAATGTGATCTTTTTTCTTCGTATTTTTATGATGCTCCTGTTTATGGAATACAGGGACGGACATTTCCAGTAGAAGTGCGTTTCGCTTTGTGTAACAGGTTTTTTTGTGGTGATTTTTATCTTAAACTCAACTTTAGATTTTTGTGCAGGGAACAAATCTTGCTTCAGTTATTCTATGGGAACACTATTGACACGAAGAATGACGATTATGTGTTTATCGCTTTGTCTACCTTAATGCAAATTCACCAGAAGGAGCCGACGAGGTATATGGTTTT